AGCAGCGCCGTTGCCGGGAGCGGTGGCCACCCCTGTGGACCCTCCCATAGGCCTCACTGTGCTCTTGGCTCATCCCCTGCTCTTCGGGGGCCTCGCGGCCACGCTCCAGGCTATGGCCCTGCACCTGGGAGCCCTGGGGCGGGTGCTGGCTCGGGCTGCTCCCGCGGTGGCGGACCATGGTGCAAGGCGGGGCTGGGGCTGACTGAGGCTGTGGGGACCCTGGGGGAAGAGGGCGAGGCCTGCCCACCTGCGTTTGGTGTTAGTGTTGGCCTGGTGTGCGGGGCCATCGGGGGCTCGTATTTAAAAGGGGCCCCCACTGTGACGCGGTGGCCCCACCCACCATTGTTCCCAGCCCTCCTCTGTGAGGGCCACACTGGGCAGGGCCCCAGCCAGCAGGGCACCTGCAGGACAGAAAAGGCAAGAAGCCCCTTGCCCTGCCTGTCGGACACATCCCATCCCTGGCAGCAGGCAGGACCTCAGGTCACAAGACAGAGCGCCGTCCGCTAACTGTCTAACCACGGCCCTCATCCTTGGTCAACACACGGTGGTGGGGACTTCCAGGACGGCCACGTGTCCACACAGCTTACTGCTGAGACAATGACACCAGCAGAGTCCCCTGGTAGTAGGGACACACCCCGCACTGCTCGTTCCTTCCCATGCACTCCCCGTTGACGCCTTCCTGCAGTGATTCCCACTTTCTGTGTAGTCGAGTTGCTCGAGGCCACACCTGGTCCCCAGCCTGCCCAGCCAGGGCATTATTCTTTCTCAAACTCTGCCCCTCCCAGGGACCCAGAAGATGGGTCCCTCTCACGGAGGACAGAGAGAGTGTGGCAGAACAGTGCCTCCCCGTAAGTGTCCAGGCCCCCACACCAGAACCTGGGGTCCTGTTACCTCACCTGGGACAGGGGCCTTGACAGACGTGGTTAGATCAGGGCCTGAGGATGGGGAGGTCACACTGGATTGTTGGGTGGGCCCAGTGCTCTTACGAGTCCAGGTACCGTGGCTCCTGCCTATAATCTTAGCTCTTTGGGGGGCTGCGGTGGGAGGATCTCTTGAGCCCCGGAGGTCGAGGCTGCAGTGAGCTATGATGGCACCACTGCACATCTGCCTGTGTGACAGAGCAAGACCCTGTCTCTTAATTAAAGTTAAAAAGGTAGGGGAAGAGGGAGGTAGAATGGTCACAGAGATTAGAAGATGCCACACTCTCCAAGGACACCGAAGTGGGAGATGGGGCTGGACACAGTGGCTCACGCCTATAATCCAGCACTTTGGGAGGCCGAGGTAAAAGGATTGCCTGATCCCATGGGTGTGAGACCAGCCTGGGCAATTGGGTGAGACATCATCTCTATAATAAATCAAAAAATTAGCCAGGTGTGATGGCACTTGCCTGTAGTTTCAGCTACTTGGAAGGCTGAGGCAGAAGGATCATCTGAGCCCAGCAGGTGGAGGCTGTGGTGGCCATGAGTGTGCCACTGCACTCCAGCTGGGCGACAGAATGAGACTCCAACTCAAAAAAAAAAATGAATGGAGGCTAGGTGTGGTGGCTCACGCTTGTAATACCAACACTTTGGGAGGCTGAGGTGGGAAGATTGCTTGAGCCCAGGAGTTTGAGACCAGCCTGGGCAATACAGTGAGACCGCCTCATTAGAATAAATAAAAAAATTAGCTGGGCATGGTGGTGCATGCCTGGACTCCCAGCTACCTGTCTCGGTCAGACAGAAAGATTGTCTGAGCCCGGGAGGTGGAGGCTGCAGTGAGCGTGATCATGCCACTATACTCCAGCTTGAGTGACAGAAACCCCAATTCAAAAAAAAAAGAAAATGGAGGGTGAGGCTTGAGCTGAGGAATGCAGGCTGGAGACTGATGATGGAAACAGAGCAAAGAAAGCTCACTGAGGGGGTCTATACATGCAGCCAGCTGGCTAGCCTCCTCTGGCCAGGCATGGGAAGCTGCTGCCCAAGTGAGGGGATCTCGGCAGCACAAGGCCAAGTCTCAGTGTGCTCATCAGAGCAGCAGGGCTGCGGCGTCCACCGGCATGGGGGGGTGAGGACGAGGATATAGGCACGGGGAGTGAGGACCAGAGTTGCCAGGACACAGTTGGGTGAGGACCAGGCTGCCTGGCACGCAGCAAGGTGAGGACCAGGATGCCCTGCACACACAGTCGCTCCCGACTCAAGAGGCCACAGCCACAGCACTTCCGAGGTACTTTGGTGGCCGGCTTAGTGTGGGTTGGGGGTCAAGTGTCACATCTGAGTGCGACTGTCAGGCCAGCTGGGCAGGTTCACCTGTGTCCTCAAGTATGACGTGAAACTATGTCCCAAGGAGTTACCAGTGACACTGAGGACTAAGTGCTGCCTGGACAAGTGCTACTGAGGACTAAGTGCTGCCTGGACAAATGGTCATGACCCAGATGGGCCTGAAAATTCATGACTCAGGGCTGCCATCTTGAACTTGATTTTCCTGGCAGGGACTGGCTTAATCTATGTATAACCAAAGAGGCCTGTCTTTGAAGAGGCAAAATATTGAAGTAAACCAGGCAAGCACCCTGGGGACAGGTGTGACAGTGACAAGTTGTTAAATCTTGAGCTCGAGCTGGTCAACTGGCTCTGGGCCCAGGGGTGGAGGACACCTGGGTTCGTGGCATTTGCCAACACCTGTGGCATAAACACTCCCCCACCCTGTCTCCATCTGCTGCGTGATGTCCCTGAGCGTGTGGGAAAGAGGTATGCCACTGACCCTTGAGCTTGTGCCCCTGCAGTGCCCACCAGGCGGGGCTACTAAGAGGTGGCCTGGGAGGCAGGTCTTGGTGGTGACTTGGTGTTGCGAGAGTTTGCAACAGAATTGTGTGGCTGCCATCCCTCCACGCCTCTCAGCACCCACCCCTCATGTGCCACGCCCTCAGCCCCACTCAGCCCTCAAAGACAAGGACACCGAAGTGGGATGACTTTCCATTTATTGACAGGTGGCTTTGTTCCTTAGCAGACTGTTTTGCAGTGGACGGTGGCATCTTCAAGATGAAGCGAGAGGTCGTGACTTGAAGTCTGGTAAATTCTTAGGCAGTTTAGTGACATGCTCTCATGGGCGTCAGTATCTTCTACACCTCAGCCGGAAGGAGCGGCGGCAGCACCCTGGGGGACAGAGGCTTGAGAGTGGGCCCAGCCTGCCAGCCCGGCGGTGCCGCCCAACCCACCCGCCACTGCTGTACCCCGTCCCACCCCCGCCCCTGCACTCACTCCTGGTTCTGCGCCTGGGACAGCAAGGCCTCCTCCGCCTGCGACACCTGCGTCTCCGGCGGCGGCATCTGCTCCGACTTGGACTGAGGCAGCATCTGTATCTGGCCATGGTGCTGGGTGGGCTTGGCCTGGACGCTCAGAGCAGGGA